GGCGGCAAAGGAGTGTAAGTTGCATCATGCAAGCCTGCGGGTGCACGATGCACAGAAAGTCATCTGATAGTGCTGATGTAGAAAATTTGCTTACGGCTTGACGAAGATCTGCCATCCGATAAGCTCAGTCCATAACAGCCTGGGTAATATGAGACGCAACTGCATTGCCTGTTAAAGGTCGCTTGCGAGATTGGACGCCGAGGTAATGAATGGGTTTCTGTTCCCCCGGTGGCCACGCTGGCTGCTGGTTCATTTGGCGAGAAGCCTGTACACGACCAATGTGTTTGCGGGTTGTCGTACTCCATAGCCTCACGGTATTTGACGCTGGTAATGACAGAAATCTTACCGGATGCACTCGTGTTGTAAGAGTTGATATGCATGACATTGATAATGAAGGGGCACAATCCACGTGACCGCAGTTGACAAGAGTTTGTCACTTGGAGTCGCTCTTTTCAAGAATCACTATGTTCCTTCCCTGATGCCGCGATACGTTCCATCAATATTGAATGACACGTTATTTCTGGATGTAGTGGTTCCTCGACACGAGGCTTACTCGATGCAGGTTCCTTCTGCCAGTGGAAGTTGAAAATAGATTTGTCTCTCCGCTCAATTATCGCCCTGTTCCCCCACTCAAGTTTACCTACCGAATATTGACTCTGTCAGGTCGTCCATCCATGAAAGTGCGACTTCCATTATATGTGCATTGTTTGATTCTTTTTCCTTATGGAATAATGTGGTTCTGGCTATCCATCCTGTTGGTTGTAGAGTGGCTTGTTCGAGGGGTATGCCTGAGTTCCTGGCGAGGTAACCGTTATATCAATGGCACTCAATTCATAGCCTCTTCAGTGCCTTCCTCACTGGCGCTGCCCCTTTCATCAACTGTTCCTCACGAAGTTGAAGTGCCAGCTAGCTCGGCAACTCGCTATACCTACCACCTGTCATCGTACGTTCTTTCCATGTATTGCTGCTTAGGGTTCGTTTGAATGACTGTTTGTCATATCAAGGTCTCAAATTAGCTTTGTTTCCGTCTGCCGCTATCAGGGAGTCACACGAACATGTAAGTCCATTCCATTGATTAGTAGCATTGTGCGTACTGAGTATTGGACACAAGCTTGATTTCGTCCAACAAGGAGAAACCCGCACAAAGGAGATTCAAGAAGAGATTAAATTTTGCAAATCCATGGTACTCATCTATTGAATAGATGGTATATTGATATCAGTTTTCATTCCATAATTGTAGCTCTGTCAGGTACGCAAGGAACGGTACAACATACAGGCACAAGAGCTTGAAGTAAGCACAGTGGACGTCCCCGCTGGATCCATCGCATTAACTTTCTCGTTGACAGATACACCGCAAAGTCGAGGCGTATCTTCAGAAAGTATCACAATCACAATCACTGCAAGCACACGTCTGTACCTGATGAATACGTTTAATGGATAGTGCAACTCAATTTTTTCCTGACGCAGCTGAAAACGCTGGAGAAAGATGTAGAGGACATAACATTCTACTCCCGCACACAAGCTATTGCAAATCGCACTGGATACCGCGGGTTTTCTGACTGGGCAGAGGTGATGACCCCGAAAACTTCGCCATGTCTTATACTCATTACGGCTCATAGAAAACATCACGAACCCATGAACATCTTTTGTTGACTCTTGGGCAGGTTGCATTTGTAGGTGCCAGCTTGACATACGGCGCGATCTTTGGGTACGTACATCCAGTCCTCTATGCATTCAGTATACCGACGATTCTATATAAGGTCGTCAAGAGGCAACATCGGGCTCATGTGCTATGCGTTTGCACTGTTCGACTGCGGTTTTATTGTGCCAACCGTTGCCCTCACACTATTAAAATGGGCTTCACAGCGACCCAAAGATGCAGTATTCGCCTCCCCGCAAGTCTGGACACTGCTACTCAACATCTTCCTTTACGGCTCAGCTGCCTGCTATCGGCGCAGCAATATGCTTGCTCAATATCTCTCTCTTTATTTTGCATTTCTCAGTTGGCAAAAACGGTCAACCCACTGATGCTCAGTTACAGTTCAACGTTGAGCCTACACCAGCTGGGAGCCTTGCTCTGGGATGTATTGGGCTTGCTGTAGTGGTCGTGGTAGTGTCTGGATTATCTCATTACCTAGCGAAACGGCTGGGATGCAATGATCGAGGACTTTTTTGGTCGTAGGGAAAACTGCAAGGAAGGATTGCAGGACTACGTTCCCGCATGAGAGCAGTATAATCGCCCATACTTCGAGTCAAGCTATCACCCATGTCTATGTCCACGGCATTTATCATTGATTCAGATCGTAGTATTTACATACATCTGCAATATTAGATGACTCATACGCAGCTCACTTGTGGGATCCATGCCAGACTGTCCCGTTCCTCAAGCTTAAGAGCCGCTTCAGTAGCACAGCTTCGCTTCGACGTTCTCCACGCACTCCATGGTCCAGAGGTACTTGCTGACTGTCGATGACGCTCAAGGACGTAGCCGTTCGTTTGCAACTCCCAAAGGAAAGCCACATCGACCATCCGACAGCACGGAGGATATCCTTTCCCGTGCAGCGCATTTCCCTATCCATCTGCATTCCTAGCACGAGTCATGCAAGCCGAGCGAAGGAATCCCCGTCCTCAGAATTCAAAGGAGTCGGGAAGCGTTCGAACCAAGGATCAGAATGGTTCTACCACCACCTTTGAGAGCTATTGAACCAAAATGCTAATAAAGTCAGATGTGCTGGGTTCAACCCACCGAGTATGTACTCTTGTGCCACTGCTCTACTGGTGTTTTAATGACCCTTATTCGATTAGGGAAGATGAAGATGCAGCTGTGCTCGCTGGAGCACATGACATTGCGAACGCCACGGGCAACAGGCTTGAGGACATCGTCCACTGTTATGTAACTTAGATGGGAAAGAGCAAGGTTTGTCTGCTTGCTTATCGAGTCTTGGAATTCCAAGAAGTATGGATGACGAAGCCAATATTAATACTTATGGGCATTAAGGGAGCTGTGCAGACCAGTGTGACTCGTGTCACGCTGTAGAGGTGTGGTGAATTCAGAAACCTTTGTCCTCCCAATCGCAGCGGCAGTGGCAGCTGCGGCACAGCGTAAGGGATCGCTCTCGTTCAGGGCAAAACAAAACATTTCCTGGAGTTGGCTTTGGATACACAGGCATGGGCGTTAGTTGGAGCTGCGAGGCAGTGCAGTGAGTATGTCGATTAATTCAGGCAACGCGCGGGAGTCTCACTGGCACATGTGAACACAGCCATGACTTCTAGGTCGACCCTATAGTGAGTAGTAGGCTGCAACAAGGCTGCAACGAGCGTCTTTTTTCGGCTCGAATTCGGGTGTGATCCCTACCGGTTTCTACAAGTAACTTTTCTATATAGACACGGTTACGTTTGCCTCGTGTTGATCTACTTCCTCTCGACTGCTCTACCCCCAGATCCTCATTCACTCTGCCAACGACCACATGGAGCCATCCTTATCCCCAATTAAATCGTTCAGAGGTCATACTGATTGGTTAGGCAGACTTGTATTCTCGAAACAGAAGAATGAACTCAAAATCATAAGCACCTCCACGGATCAGACTGTTCGGATTTGGGATGTAGAAACAGTCAGTCAAGTGGGAGATCCATTCGACGGACACGGTGGCGGTGGGGACACTGTTGGCCTAGCCGTCTCCATGGATGGCAGAAGAATTGTGAGTGGGGCGGATGATGGCAAGATCATCATATGGGACGCAGATACGAAGGAGATCGTCAGATGCCTGTCGCATCACACAGACTGTATTGTGTGCATACGGTTCTCACCTGATGAGAAAAGACTCGCCTCCGCGTCAGATGACGGTACACTCAAAATCTGGGATGCAGGAACAGGAGAACTGGTGTTCAACATCGATGATCACCAAGGCCAAGTAAAGACAGTGGCCTATTCTCCCAGCGGAATCAAGATTGCAAGTGGGTCGGGTGATTGCACTGTTCGCATTTGGAACGCAGCGACCGGCAAGCAGCAAGCACAACCACTTTCCCATGGCGCAGCAGTGCGTTCGATAGTCTGGTCTCCAGACAGTCGTCGTCTCATTTCTGCCTGTAATGATGGACAGATCTACTTCTGGAGTGCACCGACTGGTGCCCAACTCGGATCTCCACTGCGTGCACATTCTGACGCCATTATCTCATTGGCAATCTCCCCTGACGGCGAGCTGATAGCCAGTGCTTCCGTTGATAGCACTGCCAGGCTGTGGAGCACAACGACCCGCAAACCTTTCGGTCATGTGCTCCAGCATGCCAAAAGGGTATCCGCAATAGCCTTCTCGCCAAACGGCCAGCTTGTTGCCACAGGCGGTCGCGAAAACACAATATTTCTATGGGATATATCACAGGAGTCTACCCTTATGACGAACGCAGTGTCACCCTCGTTCGTTTCCCCGGCATCTAACATCACAAGTTACATCGACCAGGTAATAAATTTGTTTGTTCTATAAAGCAGGATATCTGATCCAAATCTTTTTCAAGCCATCAGCGAGCTCCGATTCTTCTATACACGAGCTACCGGATGAAACCGAGTTCCTGTCAGAAACTGTAGGCTCGCATGATGCTACTACCCCGTCTCTCCCTCTTCGAGGTCACTCTAATCATGAAATTCCTTCTCCAATCCGCACACCTTCTCCAGTCGAGCTTTCCGACGGAATTCAAGTCCCTCAAGACATCATCAACTCGCGTGACGGAGCTGCATCCCCTTCCCCATCTTTCCCCCCTGAAGGTTCCTCCCATCCTCAAATAACGACTGCTTCAGCTTCTACTCCGATCCTGGCCTCACCTCCGATGTCGTTTTGGAAGCGCTTTCCTATGTTCAATAGGTCTGCAGCGTCTGTAGACTCCAAGCGGTGGAAATTCCCGCGCATTGGTAGCATCATGTACGCAACCCTTCGCTCTCTGTTGAAGTATGAACATGTTCTAAATATGGTCCTTAGGCAGCGCAAGCATCGGAATGTGGAACCACAAGCAGGTCCTAACGACGCCTAACATTAATAGGTCTACGTGTCTGGTTTTTATGTCTTTTCTGGTATTGTCTTAGTATACTCTTCAAGTTAGCCGTTACCCTCGCCCCTCGTTTTATCGTGTTGTCCCTCCCCTGCCTATGTAGTCTGGCTGCAACACCTGTGTCATCGATTGCTGTTGGTCGTGCGTTCGCAGTCACAAATGTCCACAGTGAATTCACGTGATACAAAATTTAAGTAGACAGGGCATGGCCGCATGGGAAGGGGTCAACCGGTCAACCGTTTTTCAAGCTCGCCTACTCAACCGTTTCCCGATACAAATATTTCGCTAGTCCCGAATAGGAACCTTTGGTGACTTTTTTGCCGAAGAAAGAAAGGTAATTCAGTTCAGGTCTCCCAGGGAAAACATGTCTTTTTGAGAAGTTGACTCCTTGGAGAGTTTCGCTGAGCTGCCATGACCAATTTTTCCAGACAGAAGGAAATTGACTGGGACTGCAGTATGCTGTCCCGATAGCGCAGATGCTTTTAGCCACTGAGTCGACAATGAACATAAGCACTATATAATACAAGAGTGATGTGTGACCTGTTAGCATTCCGAAATAGATCGGCTCTCTATGTTTCAGAAACCATGTTAGCATTCGACTGACGTTATTTAGTAAAGGTTGGACCCCGCAAACCGTGCCGGAGAAAGGTATGAATCTTTTTTTATGTATTGTCGTCTTCATTGTCCTGATTACATGACTTCGTTGTTCTACTCGTCGAGCTCGCGGTCTCTGCGAACAGCATTCTCTGCCTTTTCCCCCCAACCCTAGTGCTCATGATTGGCGCCACCTCCCTGCGTCCTCCCTATAACCCTTCACACCAATTCTGCGACTGCGTCGCCATGAAATATGCTATCGCCGCCGGTCAAAATTTTTCGGAACAGCGCATCACGACCAGGCAGCACGTCCGCGTCAAGATCTAGCGTCGGATCCCCTTTGCGTTCGTTGTCGACATCTTTTTCCTTGTTGTCTTTCTCCACCAGTTGACTCTTACCGCTACCTTGCGGCAGCAGGCGCCTTCATATTTTTCTTCGGTGATTTCCACTGCATCGTGCATACTACCCTACTGTCTATATACATGTTCATTGTTCCTGTCGAATATTGGTAGTCATAATTTGTATATTGCATCTTCATCTCAGTAATCCCTCAGCCAAGCAGACACGAAAAATTAAGTTGGTTCATAATTAAAGTTCATGATATGTAAATAACAAAATACTGTGAAGGAGACTACACTACACACCCAGGTTTTGTGGGAGACGGTGGGACACGAAGATGAGGAAGCTAAATTGGTGTATGCTGCAGGGCTTGGAGGAGCAGCAGCGATTTTTGTTGGTGGTGTCAGAGCTGGCTAGTGCTGCCGCGGTCCGGTCCAGAACCACGGTTCGAACCGGACTTTTGGTCCGGTTCTCTGTGGTTCGGTCCATGGTTCCCTCACCAGCCAGAACCGGACCAGAAAGCGGTTCTGGGTTCTGGACCTTCACTAGTGGTCCGGTTCTGGTTCAACTTTCCCGAACCTTCCTGAACCGTTCCTTGACCTTCGAATTCCCTCGACTTTGACACCAACCACGACGACGTCGGTGTCCATGTCGACATCAAAACACCATCTTCGAGATTTGCATTATTTGTTAATCAGGCTACTGTTAGCCTTTTTGAAGGTAAGTACTAATCAATTTATTCTCAAGACTCTGACATATGTTTACCTATATCACAGATATCTACTTGTTCTAGTCTATATGCTTCCTGGATAGTCATGATCCTCCACCGGTTCTCAACTCTAACAGATCTCCTTGGATATTGTCGCTCTGTCTAGGTGAGTATCTTTTTTTTTTGCTTAAGTCCATGTCTCATTTTGTTACAGTTCTTGACCCTAACTATAAGTTAGCATACGTCGAACAGCGATGGACTGTGACAAAGGTCGCAAACGGGAGGGCTCGTCTTGAGGCAGTGGTGAGTACTATTCAAACTTAAGTACCCTACCAGTCTCTAACTCCAGATGTATTCTTAGTTTGACAAATATTATCAAGCACCTCCAGCCCCAGGACCACATCCCAAGGAGCCAGAGGCCACGTCATCAACAACAAAAGCTTCGATTCGTTATGGTGCTTCCTGGGTGCGTGACACTATCATGGAACGTCAAGCTACAGACCATCGCACGCACGATCCTCATCAAGAGCTCTCTGCATACCTTACTTCACCATTGGAGGAGACTGATGATGTTGTGGCATGGTGGGGTGTAAGTCAGCCCTCAAATTCATTGTTCCCCGCTTACATTCTTGATTAGTTACATTCACTGCAGTACCCAACACTAGCTCGTGTTGTGCGTGATTACCTGCCCATTCAAGGCAGTTCTGTTCCCTCTGAACGCGCTTTCTCCAGCGCGGGTATCACATCAACTCTGCGCCGCAACGCACTCGCATCATCCACTTTCTCCGCGCTACAATTGATGAAGGCAGCCTATAAGAATGGACATGTGTCAGCAGCAGTAGAGGCAGAAGGGTATGCAGTTGGTATGCAGTTAGACTAGCTACCCAATGTCATGTAGATGTCTTGTGAATGTTTTTTCCGTTGCTTGAAAAATTTTCGGTTCGGTTCGCGTTCGGACCAGACAAGAACTGGACCGGACCATTGAGAACCATTCTCAATGGTCTGGTTCTGGGTTCAACAATTTTAAAGAACCGAACCGTGGTTTGGTTCTTGGTTCTCGTCAAGGACCCTCTGAACCGGACCAAACCGGACCACGGCAGCACTAGAGCTGGCAGCACTGTGGGAGTTGAAGTCGGGGATGTCAATATCAAGTACTGGTCGGATGGCTCAGTATGGGTGTTTGAGGGAGTGACATGAACGTGGCAAGACAGCGCAGAGTAGGTCTGCGCGAGGGTGGTGAGCTTCGACTTAAGAATGATGAGGAAATATGCTTACCGAGCGGTGGTTGAGGTCTTCACCACTGATGTAATTGATGCATTCAGAGACTCGTGTTTCCCACCCTGTTGGGAGCCGATCTACTTCGGAATGCTAACAGGGCACTACACACTCATAAAACAACTGCTATGTAAACTTGGGGACCACATCAGGAAATGTACACATTACTTAATGATCCTTAAATTCGTGTTAAGTAGACTAAGAGCACCAAGCCAAATGCAAGAGCGCATATTTTTGCTTGATACAGACTTAATGTTCTTGTGCGGAATATCATCACATTTTTGTTAAGGTGCTAAGATACAAAGTGCATTAAGACAAAAAAATGGTCGAAATCAATGTTCAAGATGCTATTTCAAACATGTGATGATCCATAAATTTGTTAACATAAAAACTGGGCCATAAGTCTAAGATATTATGAAGCATAATATGCTCCGGAGTAAAATGAGTGTCAAAAATAGGTAAAAGGTGACATGCACGGACGATGGTGTCAACATGGACAATGGAGAGCTCTCGACTTCTTGACTCCGCATGGAAAGAAGGTCGTACCATCCACATGCCGGTGTCTGGATTCGGCTCATTTGCAAAGAGTTTGAACCAGTGGATGAGGGCGCAGGGGAAGGTCTTTCCACTGTACCAGAATGAAAAAAAAACACAGAACACGACTGACTTCCATCCCGTTGATCCCATCTTCACTGCCAGTATTGATGAAGACAGTGTCGTTATGAGCAGGGCCTCGACGCCATGACGGTACCACACGAATGTGCTCACGCCGCATTCCACCAACACCACTTGGGTCACTCGGTGCAAAAAAGGTGGCAGCGGCCGAGTTAAATACTTTAACTCGGCCCTTGAATCTTGGACATGCACTGAGGGGGACATTGTCAGAAGTGTGCATATCATCTGTCAGAAGTTGATCATATAAAAAAAGCCGAACGAGATGGGGGAGATCCAGAATGCCAAGCTCATTTGCTAATGCACGTATATTGCATGCGCAAGATCGTTCTTCGAAGGTGCCACATTGAGTGATTGAAACATATAAAATAAACGAGAACTCACTAGGGGTATGTGCTAATTTAACATCACACTGTGCTCTGGGACCTTCCAATATGCCATCACCAGGCTCATCCAAGTGAGGGCGATCCGAGTCTGCCTGGTCAGTTGGGCTGATCTGAATGTCCTCTCCCTCATCCTCCTCCTCGCCCTCGCCCTCCTCCTTGCCCTCCTCCTTGCCCTTACCATCGCCAGCACCACTGTCATCGTGGTTGTTGCCGTTCGGGGCATCCACCTGCATGGTTTCTGTGGTGCCTCGGGCTGACTCGAGCCTATCTATGTGTGTGTAAGCTAAAATCTGTCACAACAAATAGAAGACATACCAAGATGACCTAAATGGTCTGAAATGTATGAGTTGTCGAGCATTCCACGTGCGGTGAAGTCAGAACGTGACGCAGCGAGTTTGTCGAGACGTTGGTTAGTCAGCAACATTTGTCCGAGTGCATTAAATTTACTCGAACGGCGCCAGGGCTCCTTGACTGCCTTAATGTGTTTTGATTCGGTTATTGAGGAGCATATCCCATTTGGAGCGCCAAACAAACGGATAAGCATTGAGTAATGACATAGTGCATGCTGACGCGGCAATGAAAAGCCATCAAATTGAATACCTGTGTCTTGAAAGATTTGCCGGTATCGATGAAAGCGTTCAAGACAGTTGGAAAGTTGCAGAAGAGTGTCCTCTGTGATAATATCTTGCCGCACGATGTAACAGAATTCGAGGAAGGCCCGAAAACATCGAATTATATCTTACGGAACGTGCCCCTCAATGGCAGGGAGATAAACTTTCATGAGTGCCTTTGAGTTGTTGCCTGTCCATTGCGAGAATCCACGTCCTTGTGGAAATTGGCGAAGTCCTGCGAAAGGCGGAGCTGTAGCTATTCTTAATGAGAAATGAGAAATTAGTTAGAATGAGCCAATCAAAAAAACTAAAACTCACCGATGGTCGATATCATCCAAGATCTCCTTCGCACGTGCCTTTCCATGCTCTTTCTCGAGGTACTGCTCGACCCATGCCACCAGGTGGTCTTTAAAGGCTCCCTTGATGACTTGATGCAGGATATCTGGTGCGAGAAGTTGGTGAATATCGGCATGGGGGAAATCGTTCGTGAATGGCTGAAAAACGTCAAGAGTAAGACCATAGAATGATAGAAAATACTTACTACTAGCTCGCCGATGACCCCCCATTCATCCCAAAGCACTCCAGAATCAACCTCTTCACAAAGGGTATCTACAACTTCCTGTGAACGAAGGCCACCTTCGCCAGAGTCCAAATTATCAGGATAAGCAAAACATCTGATGTATTACTATTAGTATGGCGTGTGCGAAAGAAACAAATAGAATACTCACTTTGCGCACCAATTTTGAACGACACAACCAAGGACAAGTTGCTCGGGATAATCGGCAATATAAGGACCGAGACCATACAACACACGTCTAAAATGTCCGTCACCAAATTGGACAACTTCAGGGATGGACATGGCGGGCTTGAGTGATGACAGAATCCTCAAGAGCGAAGAATGAAATAGTTGTTTCTTGAACTTTCGGAAATGTGGGTCATCTGAATGTTTTTTAGTCGCTACAAGACTTCGTTAGTATCAAAAACACAGACAAGACAAAAACGCACTTTTTGGAATAGCCAAAAAGCCAATAACAGCTACAGTGTTACGGTGTGCACGGTGGACATTATTATGGACATTGCCAATTGAGGCATACAGCGGGTAGTAGTCATTTTGACCTGTCGCCACTGAGACTGTAGTTTTATCACTTCCGAGTATAACTGAGACAAACATCGAGCCATGCGTAGCTGGATCTTTAGCAATATTGTCCTGGGGAAATATCAGCAAAAAACAGTGTTTGTAGCCTTGAACTTACCGCTTGGTCCCAGGCCCAATCACCCAACATCACGTTGCGCCATTGGCGAGTTGCGCTGTCCCCTGTTCCCTTCCACTCCCGGTATGGTGCATAATCTATCTCATTTTTAAAATTGGGGTTACCTAGCATATTATGGATGATAGTATGTGGGTCGCGGAACCACGTAGTGTACGTTGCGTCCATCCACGGTGTGAGACTGCTATTTGGATCATCATCAGCACTATACTTCATCGAAAAGCTCTGCCAAGGGACGTCTCCAATTGGCGTTTTGTCGATAGTCGAATACAGGTCCCGATGATCCACAAATGGAGGGGCATCTCCATGACGAGTGAGACCAAGGCCCCAGAGGTGCATCAATTTGTCGATATCACTGGCAGACATCTGAACCTTCTTGTACAGGAATTTGGCGGTTTTGAACTCCATTCGATTATGGTAGGGAGTCCAGTCACCGGGTTGTCTTGAGGTCAAGGAAGGAGGTTCCGTGTCTGGAGGAAGAAAATTCCCCGCTGCATCACATATATGACCTGCACGAAAGATAATGTTATGAATGTGTATTGTGTCAATAATAAAACCACATACCATCAAGTTCGAAATGATAGTCACGATACATTTCATTGGCATCCCTGCTGATATCGGGGGCGACATTACCATCAGTCCCATAGTCCATCTCGTAATCGTCTCTTTCTCCATGGTGGTTGTCGTCGTTATTCGTGAATGGCTGCTCCCTGTCGTTTGGATCCAGATCGCCATCAGGTGCGAGTGAAGCCTGGTTTGCAGAGTGTTCATGGGCAGGTGGCATAGCAGGCATTCAAAATGAAAAACCATGAAGTGCGTGACGGTGTTGTGTGAGACTGGACCGATTCCTGAAATAGTGGTTGCAGCCAGCATGAGGACATGGTATTAGGTTGATGTTGAAAAGCCTGCGCTCCCAGCGTCGAGTCATTGGTGCAGTAAAACAGGGAATGGCAAAAAACCAAGCGGCAGAGAGTGCGAACCAAAGAGAAAAGAACCGAGGGCTGCAAGTAGGCTCGAGGATATGAGGATGCAAATAAAGCTACATGCGCATGAGAAGTCAATGATGCAAGAAGTACGAATGTAAATACTCACAGTATAAATGCACAAGGGAAAGAGCTCGAAGAATGCAGTCGTCCTCAGGAGTACTCGTAGTGTGTGTCAGGTCCCAATTGACGCTAAAACAAACAAGGGTTGTTAATAGTAAAGTACATAATAGCCCGTGCAACTTGCATAGTAAAAACACTCTAAAACAACCTTCTTTCGCCTCTTCTTCACCCCGACCCAACAGTCTCCCACTCACCAGCTCCCTTCTATTATTCTTGCTGCCAACCATGGTCTCTACACGTCTGTCCAATGCTAACAAGAAAGTCGCTCAAGTTGTCATAGACGTGCAGCAAAAAAGACGCACCTCAGCCCAAGTACGGGAGGATAATGCTCGTCTCCAATGAGAAAAGCAAGAACAGGAAGCAAAGACCCACAAGAGCATAGCGAAGGTTGCAGCTGTCCAGGACAAACTTGCTGTCCAGGAGGAAAATGCAACTGCCGCGAGAAAGCCCCAACCTCGTCTGGTTGGCAAGGTTGCTGCTGCAGCCGAAATGGCACCTCCAGCCTCCCAGGCTAAAGCCACAGCACTGAAGAGAGGCATTGGAACGATGCAAGAAGCTCTGGATGGGGTAGATGATAGTGGTGAGGCAAACATGCAGAAGAAGCGGAAGCGAGTGCAGAAGACGGCTCACCGTGATGCTGTTCGTGCTGTTCATGCCACTGCAGCATCAGGTGATCTCGATCTTGATCATAATGATGGGATCACAGCGGCATTGAGTTCATGTGCATCAGATGCAGACCTAAAAGGGAATGTGGCAATGTACGTACCTTGACCTTCTACCACCATGTTGCTACTGACCGAACCAACTCTTTTCTACTGGAATTTACTGAATGACTTAAATAGTGACCTGAAGGCTTATAAGGCCACAATCTCAGTGTGGGCACGTGGGATTACGAATCCAAAGACCAGCAGCGTGTTATCTCTATTGCCGTGTCAAGAAAATCCAACAAGTGTATCAGGCATCTCAGTACCCACACAGTTTACCAAAGTGATGACAATCAGCAGCGCTACTGCCCCCCCGAAAACTCCTGAAAACTCGGACATTGGTGACAACGATGCCCAGATAGTAGGGTCTCTGCTGGACGAAGATGACGGGCCTGAGCGCTTGGCAGCACATGCCCTTATGAGTCTGAAGAAACAGCCCGGGAGTCTGCGTACTGTGATGGGAACAGCAGTTTGGATTGTTTTAAATTGACTGTTTCATTTGTTAACTACTTTACAGGAAGTGATTGAGGTTAAGGACAGGTCACCGACTCCACCTCTACCTCCACCTTTGCAATATCAGTTTCGCGCTAACAAGTCTCTCTCTTTATCTGTTGAAGGAGAGCTGCTTGATGCTTCAATGGACAACGATGAATTATATTCTGAAGATGCCATGTTCGTTGACAGTGTCAAGGCAAGCCCCATCGCCAGAAGTAAATGGGTGACATTACAGGTACGCAAATTAGATCAGTCTGTGGTAATACTCAATTGTTCTGCAGACGAACGTGGATGTATTCGATGATTTAGATATCCCTACCACAAAACGTGTCAAACAGGAGACGACCTTCAATGCTTCAGAAACGAAAGTGACTACCAGGGAGAAGAAAGTGGCCAATGGAGAGGTCTTGAGGATGAAATACAAGAACAGCGATCTTCCTGCTGGTTGCCAGGATGGAAATGCATGGCGCAGCTCACTTATTCCTACCATCGCTCATGCTGTGGGCGGGGACAACATCCATCCATGGCTCATCGAGGACGACGCACTTATTTTCATTCTCACGAAGACTTGGAAAGTTGTCTATGCTGGGAAGCCAACACTTGTCAATTACTCCATCGTCCCAGGAGATGCTGTCTACTATGTGGTACGTTTCACCAATTCAACATATCTATACTAGCTGATACACTATTTGATGTAGGCTAAGCAGCGCTTAAGTGAATGGCGCGGTGGATTTGGTTCCGCTGCTGTCATGATGATCATGAGCCTCATGGCAGCTAGCCCACTCTACGAATCTGAGGATAGCCGCGTCGGTTTTGCGAATTTCTGGCTTGAAGACAACAGATTTCTCTTTGGGGATGTCGACTCCGACGACAAAAAGGTACGCATTATCATTGAGTATAATTTTTCCTAATGTCTATCTTTACTTAGGAATGGTCAGGGATGTGGCAGTCCACATTTGTCCTGCAGACTTTCACGGCTCGCCTCAACTACACCCAAGGACGTGTACCAGTTTCAGAGCTCAACAGCGAGGAGTCGGTTCTTCGAACAGCACTTTCTCTCTCTGCAGCAGCAGTATTTGATTATATTTGAATCTACACATTGTCCTAATATTTAACAGGTTAAACACGCCCTCAATCTCCTTGCAACTAAAGAGATGACTTTTGAGATCAAGAGCACCTCTAAGGGCAAGAAGAAGCCTTCGCACAAAGGGAAGGTGCCAGCTGCAGAAGTTGAATGGATTGCTGTCATTGGTGAGAATGAAAGCTTTTCGGAGCCGCTCTGGGGATATGACACGTGGATGTTCTTGACTGCCATCAATCGTGTTCCTGCTGACAAGATGAAAGCTATTGTTGAGCTTGCTCAACAATACATGAAGGCCACGACGCGCGCTGGACAATCGAAGACAGATGGCATGCCTGAGGATGTTCAGAGCGAAGAGTTCAATGAACAGTATGCTGACCTCCTCGCTTTCCACTGACCGTAAAATTTATTCTGTTGCTTACTCCTTTACATGTCCTCACTCATTCCTGACAGAACTTTGTTGCACCCAATATCATCATTGTTCAACTGCCGACCAGCAACCGGTGCTTTCCCTCGTTTTCCTCATATCATGGTATCTCGCTGTTACTCTTGCTTCGAATATGTTCAATTGCCGTTCTTTTTGATTGGCGTCACTGCAATTTTAATGCTTTGCTTTCTTGTTACCTTTTAGGACCTGCTTTATTTGCCCTTTACACCATTCTGGATCCCTCTTAATTGGTACTTTGTATCATAGGAAATTGATGGATCATGTTTTCAGAATCAGCGCACAAAGACATCCAAGTGCTTCAAGAGACTCTTAAGTCAAAATGTAAGAATTGAGATCTAATTTATTTAAGAAAGGCTATTCTTAATCATTTTTGGCTTATTCCGTTGTTTTTGTGCGTTCAGCTGCTATTAAGTCATGATTAAGTAATGTGTACATTTCCTGATGCATAAAAATATTAATGCGGCATGCAGGAATACAAGGTGGTCACATGCATGTATGAATTACATAAATCAATATTTTACTTTGTTCAGCGCGTTCAGCGCTCAAGCACTCAAGCACTCAGCAATTGTATTATCTTCACTTATATTGCTACTGCAGACATGTATGTCCTACTACTCCAATGCAATCGTCATTGTAGATAGTCATAGTCAATCATCCGCTCTTTCCACTTCTTCCATGGGCACATCCACATCCAAACACGCACCTCCGGTTAACCTCCAGAGTCTTATATTCACTAGGACTCCAAGCTTCATCCTCCGCATGTCATCCCCGAGCCTCTCCTACTTTCCCTTCACCAATGACAACAACATGCCTCACCAATTTTTCGCGTATGGCGGGCGCCATTTTGGTACCATATCACTAATACCAGCGTAAAAGAGAAGAAAAACTATGATGTTTGAGTACACATAGGTCTGGCTCGAACACATAGAGCGTGAGTAAGTGCTTTTGTGGCTTCTGTGTGCACTATCAGATCCAGCTTTGGTTGTGTTTTCTCTTCCCTGGGCCATGCACCTCTACCGCTGTCGAAGGTAAATATGCATGATACTCAGAAGGTATGAGCATTGGTTGATGCTGCAAGAAGTAGTGCATGGCTGCTGTGTGCCATTTCATGCATTTGAACACCTTGGCTAACACTTCATGTAGGACATATCGCAGAGGGCACTTGTACGTCTAAGTGCATCGGAAGGAGTTGATTCAAGAGCAATGTTGAGGGTGTACCCCTTTGTGCAAGTTTTGTCGATGTCCCTGTACTTTCTGGTGGTAGTTTGATACAGGCAACGTTGATCACATCTTTATTTGACATCCTAGGCGCTCTAAGTATGTGCAATAAGCGCCTGCTCTTTCAGTTCTTCGGCTGCGATCTTACCGGTCCCTAACCTTTTCCGTATATGCTATCTGATTGCTTTTGCCAAATGCTGATATATTTTTCCTAGGCTGATCTAACCCAACTCACAGATCCTCGCCCACTCTTTCAACGACCACTGCATGGAACAATCCCCATCTCCAATCAGATCTCTCAGAGGCCACACTCATCTGATCCAAGAAGTACTGTTCTTGCAAAATGGGAACAATAAACTCAAAGTTATAAGTACATCTGACGATAAGACTGTTTGAATTTGGGATATGGAAACAGGAGAACAGGAAAACTCATTGGAGGGGCATGCTAATAAAACTTGTGGACTGGCTGTATCAATGGATGGAAGTAGAATTGTGAGTGGGGCGGATGATGGCAAGATCATCATATGGGACACAGATACAAAAGAGATCATCAGATGTCTGTTGCATCACACAGACAAGGTTATTTGCATACGGTTCTCACCTGATGAGACAAGAGTTGCCTCCACATCAACTGACGGTACACTGAAGATCTGGGATACAGAGATGGAGGAACTGGTATTCGACATCGACCATCACCAGGACAAATTATGGACAGTAGCCTATTCTCCCAACGGAACAAAAATTGTGAGTGGGTCATTTGATCAGACGGTTCGCGTCTGGAATGCAGCAACTGGCAAGCAGCAAACACAACCACTTTCCCATGGCACATTAGTGAGCTCGGTAGTCTGGTCTCCAGACAGTCGTCGTCTCATTTCTGCCTGTGGTGATGGCCAGATCTACTTCTGGAGTGCACCGACTGGTGCCCAGCTCGGATCCCCACTGCGTGCACATTCCGGTGGCATTAACTTGTTGGCCATCTCACCTGATGGTGAACTGATAGCCAGTGCGTCTAATGATCACACTGAAAGGCTATGGGGCACCTCTACCCGAAAACCTTTCGGTCGTGTGCTCCAGCATGCCAGCGATGTAAATATGGTAGCCTTCTCGCCAGATAGCCAGCTCATCGCCACCGCCGGCAATGAGAACATAATATTTTTGTGGGATATATCACAGGAATCTACCATCATGACGAATGTAGTGTCGCCCTCATTCGCTTCCCCAACGTCCAATATCACAAGGTACATTGACCAGGTAATAAATTTTGTGTTTTGTCTATACAGCAGCATATCTGATGCAAATGTGATTTAAGCCGTCAGCAAACTCCTCACCAACACTTGACAAACTTCCGGATGGAACTGAGTTCCCGTCAGATACTGTAGGCTTGCATGATGTTGCTACCTTACCTTCCCCATATCTACCTCCTCAAGGTCACTCCAATCATGAAATCCTTACTCCAGTCGAGCTTTCCAGTGGAATTCAAGTACCTCCAGAAACCATCAACTCGCGTGATGCAGCTGCATCACCTTCCCCATCTCTTCCTCCTCAAAGCTCCTTTCATCCTCAAATAGTGACTGCTTCAGCTTCCACTCCGGTCCTGGCCTCGCCTCTGAAGTCATTTTGGAAGTGCTTTCCTATGTTCAATGGGTCTGCAGCGTCTGTAGACTCCAGGTGGTGGAAATTCCCTTGCATTGGTAGCATCACATATGCAAGTCCTTTTCTCTATGAATATTGTCCTGAATTTGATCCCTAGGCAGCACAGGCATCGGAATGCGGGACCTGATGATCTCCAGCATCAGTAGACTCATTGTTCATGTCTTCACGTCTTTTTTTTTTGCTTCAGAGTTGGTCCGTTGGGGTCATAGACCCTATGTTGGACATTGTCTCATCACAAGCTCCCTTTTGTCTTTTTATATTGGGTTGTTTCTTTTCTTGTTTTTAGCTTACTCATACTTCACATCTTGTTATAGTTGTTACCCTTGGTTCTATTGCATTGTGCATCCCTTACCCAGCCGAGTTGATATAGGATAATCACTACTGCTGGGCATGTGTTCACGATCACGGATTATTTTACTTCGAAAGTTCAGTGTGGCAGAGGACTCCAAGCTAATGTAGAGCACACATGTAACATAACTACTACTCCAGGTACACAGCCTGGAAGTCTTTTCAATTGCAAACAGATCCTTGTTCCATCATCATAAGCCTAGTAATCTAGATCACTGGCAGTAAAAAAAGAACTAAATGCATTCATTCCCTACTGGCCCAAAATTACTGTCCTGTCAGTGCGGACTCAACATTCACTCTCGCAAACTGTGCTGCCCATTCTAGTATCCAGAACATCGCCATAAATATACATCACACTACTCTTCTAGGCTTCGATCAGTGGCTAAAATGCACGACTTGAGTCCTAGACGATCACAAATAAGAATTAGTACCACTACCATCAGAGAACCGATGAACAAATGAGAAGGTTATTTAAAGCAATATATAATACAGCATCACAACAATCTTCGTATATCTGCTGACCACTTCCACATGGGAATATTTGGCATTGTTGAGGAAAGAACAATTTGAAAGCACACCAGCTGAGGAACGATATTGGCTAAGTGATCTCTTTCATTTGAATGTGTCTAAGAAAACATAAATGGGCCCAGGTTCATGAAGTTTAATATGGACAGATACTGAGAGGGAAAAGAAAGGAGGTTGTGATCTGTGAAGGTGAAAGACACTGCGATGATGCTATTAGTAGTGCAGGTACATGTCATTTGGTCCGCAGGTAATCTTGCAGTTAATTTGCTCGAGGGTTGAATTTTGTGCTAGACTCGAAACACTACAGGAAAAATCTAGAGATGAAGAAAAACGACAAAGTGTTCACTGATCAGCAATGATACATCAATTACCTGCCAAGATAACACTCGAGCCAAGCGAATCACAAGTCGCATGGTGAAAGCAACGTTCAATATATTAAATTGTTGGCTGCTAGATATCAATTGGGGATCCGTGCGAAAAAGTGTTGCCTTTGCGGAGCAGCGGATGCATTCAATACGTGAGCGACAGATCAACTTTTGTTCTGCTTTGACTTTTAACAACATCTGCTTGAAAATTTTAACTTTTGTCATTAATGGGACAATTTGTCAAGGTGTAATGAAAGCAAGTATCTTCCAGAGGATGACGATATGCTCACCGCGCGAGTAACAATTTATTTATATGCTGCTTGCACTTTTGATGCTATTCTCTTTAGATATCGAATTACTGGGAGTTGTATCCCACTTTGGATACCATCACAAGATGTTGTAGCCTTGCGTGGGCACTACATGTTTATATTATAGTGCTTTGACTCAGTACTTGACAGTAGTGGGCCATGGATCAGCCCGGTATTTCACTTACCATTCCATGTATTTGTAGTAAGGTCTCCGAAGTAAAAACTTTCTGTCCTGTCATTAGCGCGAAGAGTGGAAAATACAGACATCATCATGATGCCACTGCATCTCTTGAATTCGCATCATCGGGCTTGAACGGTGCTATTAGCGTGAATGCTAGATAATGCGGAGGCCATCCACAGCAGACTTTCTTTCCTGTCGGTGGCGCGAAGACCAAAAATACAAACATCATCATAATGCCGCCATGTCTCTTGGATTCATACCATCGAACCTAAATGGCGCTATTAGCGTGAATGCTAGATAATGCAGAGCTCACCACAGTATCACTGCATTTTCCAGAACTAGCCTATCAATCACAATGAGGCCAATCTACCAACTGAAACCAGATCATTCTCATGAATCGCGATAATGAATTGCTATCGATTAGAGAAAGCAACCCTTCTAGAGACCCTCTCTTCGAGGTACTTCCGAGCAGTACCAGACATTTTCATTGACTTAGATAGGACCAGGGAATAAATTGACGCATATTGGCAAAATCAAATTCATCTGATACGAAGACACGACATATCATAATTATGGGTAATATAAGGCTATAGCGAGTGCATCACACAAGGAGGACGAGCAGGAAAAAATGGAAAGCATCTAGTCGGAGTCGAATGCGGTGTCCTCCATCTGCTGTCTCTGAGCAGCGAGAGCATTGACAGACATTTTGGAAATGACGTCTGGCGTCAAGTCCTCTCGATGGTTTCTTCCGAAAACTTTCCTGCACAGGACTAATTTAGCTAATAGAACGAATCACTGACACTGATAGCTTACCTAGTCCACCACTCGAGAAGTTGACTCATCCTCAATCGCGCAGCTGCACCCGGGGGGGCTTCAAAAAAGTCTACGATGTTGTTCCAGAAAACCAGGTAGTCAAAATCCCCGTCTACAGTATGCCAGGAAGTGATATTGGAAAGCGCGAATTGAATCTGAAGATTTCAGTTTCACAATTAGAACAAAGTATTGATGCTACTGACCTGACAAGCAGTATACGCAATCGCGCGAGGCATCACCTTCCTCATGCCTATAATAGAGGCAATGCACGTCTTGACCTTGGCTTGATCTGACCGTCTCCGGGCGCGCCTGCAATTCTTAATGATATTGGCGCCATCGCCATCACCATCCACTTTGTTGGCCGAGGAAGGGGATGTGAAAATGGCCTTGAACCCCTTCAATACAATGAGTTGTGAATCAGTTGCAAGAATTAGGTCACTCACCATAACCAATAACTTCGACTTCATGAGCCCGCGTTCCAAATTCTTAGCGTCAGCTTCATAATTCTCATACATGAATGTTGGCCACAAGTTTTCAGACACGATGAAAGAAGTTGTACGGTCACGAATGCCAGCCTTGACGCTAAACAAAATGTCAGCAACATGTGAGTGACAATGATCATTACATACGCTGAGTCCTCCCAATGCCATTCCGCCGGGCAGAGTAGTTGACCACATGCATCGTTGACGAAACCTCGATGGTGTTTGTCGTCGGTCCTGATGAGTGTGGTCGGATGGCACTCGATATTTACCCATGAAGCAACAAGCTCCTTAAGGGTTCCCATGTCGTCGCCACGAGCAGAGTCTGCACCTCGCTTGAGCTATATCAAGAATGAGCGAAAAGTGTGATAAAGACGTTGGGAAAAACCTTTCTGAGCATGTCGTCTGACTCCTCGTGATCAAGACATGCTAGCTTATCGTGAAGCCATGGTAGTGCCTTGATGAGCTCGATGTAACCGCGTTGGAGACGGTCTTGCCTGTTCCATTTTATAATTAAACATGGTGATATGAACATGAATAGTTACTCTGTAGTGGGGCTGCTGCTAGGCTCGCAATCTTCACACCGCCTGTCGTTTTCGGTGATCAAATCTTCTATAGGGGTGTAAAGGGCAACGATGCGACAGATTGCCCGTCCCTGTAAAACATAATAGGTTGTCTTTCTGTAGCAAGGTATTAATACTACTGTGAGCGAGAACATGCCTCGCACCTTTGCTTTATTGCCTTGTCCTGCTTCAAGATTTCAATTTCATCCATCAGAGCGGCGATCTTTCGCTTCGCCCTAGCATGCGGAGAGGTTTGGACACAGAGTGAGACGTCCGGAGTAGGGCACTGTCCCGAGTTGATATCAGATGTTGGCATATCGGCCCAAAGACGAGGTAGAAGTGCAAAAAAGTGGGAGAGCACGAGGCTTGTGAGGTCGTCTTATATATAATGTTTAACCTGAGTATGGCCAAAAGTTAGTCTTCGTGAGTTTTGACGTGGTTCGGATCAACACGATTAACACCGGTACGCGAAACGAGCAGCCGCTCCCGAGCCTTTTTAGTGGCTGTTCGCTAGTTGCAAACCGATCCCGGTGACACTGAAGCGAGCATTTCCTGCTCACTTTCAGTTGGGATTACTACTACAGTCCAAAAACTCGATAGCGGAGGGGTCACGCGCCAATGCTTCAAGTTGTGACCCGAGTTACAGGTGCTAGGTCAATTAGCGACCAAAATTGAGCCGAGTTCAAACTTAGTAGTACTTACGATGTTCAAAGCCGTTCTGCTTGGCTTTTTCTTCCGCCTCCACATCTGGCCATTCCAGTGCAAGAGTCTACCAGAGTCAGTAATCGATGAAAGATATCACACTCAAACGCACATGATAAGTAGTTAATACGATGTCATATCTCATCAAGTCGGTCTTCTTGCGAGGTTTGTTGGAGCCTCAATAGAAGAGAACGTGAGACTTGAATTCAATCGAAACTCATATACAATTCTGAACGTACCATGGTAATCTAGACACTTCAAATTGTTGGTGATCTTCATCTCGATCTTAAGCTTCCCTTGGTCCAGTAAGGCCAACGGAGCAACGATAAGGTTCGTCTTGCATATAGGGTCATTGGAGGGGTTGGCGACGACCACCGAGATTATCTGCACCATCTTCCCTAAGCCCATCTCATCGCTCAAACAGCCTCCCTTGTCCCCACATTTCTTGCATTCCAACACCCATGCAATGCCAATAACCTGGTGAGCTAACAAAGAAATACAGAAAGATATGTGTACATGAATGACACAGACAGATGTCACATGGATGCAAGCTGACATAACGTTTCCCACAGAATTTTTTGTAAGAAAAAGATATTTCTAATCCAGACTTGTTGTTGGGAAAATATCTGCATGACATTGCTGGATGGTACATGGTATCAGCCAGCTCGTCTTGTAATTTCATAAAGCTATGTAATGTAACTTCAATGGTGAAGTAACTTGAATTGGGGAGAACCTAAGAAGTAAGGGTGTAAACAAGGGGGAGGAGAAACGAAACAACTTGGCTCTGTTCCGGTCAGAATATGCAACAGTAGTAGCGACTATATGGTCATGCCATAGGTGGGGAGAGTAGTCACTATGTTACTCGTCCTCTGAGCCGTCATCATGTGGCTGGGCTCGTGCCTTCTTTTTCCCTTTAGTCTTCCTTCTTCCCTTCGCACGTTCCGCCCTCATGTAAGCTTTGTAAACACAGCTATGAAAGGTAAGTGCAGTGCCCTCTGGCATACTGACCTTGTTCTGGTAGAATCCAACATCAAACCCAGCTGTGGTTGGCAAATACAATATGCCACGATACTTCAGTTTACTGGCGTATTGTAAGAGGTTCATTGCAGAATAGCGAGAATGGACACTGGTAAGGAAGTCCTTGATGATTTGCGGTGGTTTGTCATCGCTAGATTCTTCATCACTTTCCATGTAAAGGGCATATGTCCTTTTGAGTGGCTGGGGCCTCATGATCGGGTATTCTCCTTGTTGTCTTCCTTCAGAGATTACCGTGTCGCTGATGGTGGGTGAAACGTGGATGTGATTGTGGATGATAGGAGAGATAATCTCGGTGGTGGTCCTCTGGAGCAGCGAGAGAGTTTGTCCCTGGACACGTGTCCAATCTGATGACAGGCTCTGCTCGTCTGCCGCAGAAGATTCGGGGCTGCGTTTCACCGGCCTTTCTTTCAGTGTAGGCATCTACAAATTAATTCGTACAAATCACTTGCAAATATCAAATCACATACGGTGTTGATAATTTCAATCACAACTTTCTTCTTCCGCCTGCCAGAGCCCTGTTCTGTTCGCACCACTTTGAACGCATCATCTATATCATGTGATGTCAGAAGGCGATGGGGTGGGTCCTTGTGGCGGGCAACAGATAAACGCCAGGCCAAGTGTTCATATGTGGTTGGAACATCCATCGTAGCCTTGATGCGGTCGAAGATGTCTAGGCGACAATCCGATTCGGAGTATGACTGGTCCACACAGGTCACACTTTGGTTGCTATCCATGGTGTGTAGTGATATCCTGAACTTGACTAGCACGACATAAGTATCCTCACCGACTCAGCTGGAGACAAACTTTCAAATTACCTTTCTCGAGCTCCTGGAACTGCTGCGGTTGTGTGGAGAATCCTTCGATTGCCTGGGAGTCTGCCATGCCATCATAGAAACATTCAGCTGCACGCATGTGGTTTGACATGTCCAAGTCCTGGTCGTTGACATCAGGGAGCTCCGAGCGCACTCTGAGTAGAAAGGCTGCATTTTGCACTCGCAGAGCCTGAGAGCGCTGCTTTGCACGAGTTCTTGAAGATATGTTTGGAGAGAAATTTTCAGGAACTTGACTGCTACTAGACCGCAGTTCAGACATGGCGGGAAATTTGATCTATGTGACAACGCACTCTGGTCACCTATTTAAGTTGTGAGTCGCGACAAACGCTGACCCACCGTGACGACTAGTCACATGTTGATGATATTCTGAAAGTCAACAGATTCATCCGGACATATCTCAGCAGAGAAAGAACTCACTGTGACTGTCTCGGAGGTGAATATACTAGGGCAAACAATGTTCGCATCCCCGGCCATCGGGACCAACTCGGATCAGCGTCCGACTTAGCATAGTAAGGGACGGTTGGGAATTTGATAACTCTAATAGCATAACACCGTGACCGCCAGCATGACCTGAGAGATTTGGCCTGTCTGAGAAAGCCTGAACGTCTGAGTCAAATGCGGGCCAAAGTTTGGGACACAGCACTCCCAGTGGAGTTTAAATCCACGCTCCTACCCAGCGGACGTTTCGAGGGTGGGGGTCCCGTCCTAGTCACGGTACAGCTAGATAGTTTGAGTATTCACCAAAACAAACCTGGTCATAATGTCGATCCCTGAGGTTCCTCTGTTAGAGTTAGTAGTAGTGATGGCTTCTGATGAACGAAATGGATTTGCGATGCAGCGCACCATGATAACAATCACTCAAAAACTGGGTGAGGCAATAAAGCCGAACTACTAGTAGGCTCGGCAGTTACTAGTAGTAGTGACACCCGACAATAGTACAATTGATATGCCAAGCCTGACTCGGAGATAAGTCGAAGTCGCAGTAGTAAACAGAAGTCACAATGCCATCACTCACACTGCGGAAACGAGATTTAGAACAGACCGGAATAGTATCAGAGTAGGCAAGGAGTGGTTTTGTATTGTATTTCTCGTCGTACAACCCGCGATACCAGCACACTCCTACACCTAATTCCACGCTTCCGAGTATACCTTGTCTGGACGTCTGCTGTTCCGGCCCTTGCAGTCTATCTTCCCACAATCCTGACACGCATTCATACAAAACATGTCCGCCCTTGCAGCAGTGTCGAGTTCGCTTCTGCGAGGGCTCTAGGATCGCAACTTCACTCGTCTCTCCATAACCATACGCTCATTTAAGTCCATTTTGCTCACTTGGTGTGTGTGGCTGAGAAACTGGTGGAGGTGGAGCACTTTGACTTTAGGGGTGCTGATGGTAATATGAGTACCCGGGATAGGCATACAATACAGACGGGCCTGGCTGTCCGAAAGCAAATTGTTGTACCTGCGGCGGAGCCTGTGCCTGTGCCCGAGGTTGAGGCTGTGGCTGTACGGACGTGGACACTGATGCAGCAGGACGGTCAGGTGTAGCACCACCAAGAGTAGATGTCGAGGGTCGAAGCATAGAGGGATGAGTCTGGGTTGATGTGCCAGGTTCTGGAGCACTAGAGTCCACTCCCCATGCATTGCTGAACTCGCCTATAGCATCCCACTTGTGCTATTAGCAGACAAGAGGCAGAAGGCGGATAGATGCATACTTGGTTATTGTTGTCGACCGAAAGATATCAGCACCCACACCACCATCATCAACATCATATTCCTGATCTTGTTCCCTTTTCTCGTCAGGAGGCGGGTTTTGGACAGCGTTGATGATATTGAGAATGTTGTCCTTCGGCATCCCGACTTTGAGACAGGTTTTTACCATGTTCCAAAGCGTTTTGGGGACACCGACAGCATGCCAATTCCAAACATTGTTTCCAGGGCCCAGATCGGCGTCACCCTACAACAACCGCGCTGGAAACTCTTCTCTTAGCCTCAACTTAGCCTCACGGGAAGTCCCTGCATAACAGACACGTCTGTGCTGGCCAATTTGCGTCCTTCAGGAGTCGTGCTAGCAATACACGATACACTTTTGTATGCATACTCGCATCCAATGATGAAGAAGGGTTTGTCGAGGTCGTAAACCTTGACTGGGCTGCTACGGATGCGGGCTCGGTTTTGGAGTGCTCCCGCACACGGTCCAATGAATGCCAGCGAGAACAAGAGGTAACGGGTCCCAATATAAGAATCGATGCTCGGAGTGCATGACTCGGGGAGTTGTCCGAGGCGCTGTAGAGACTCATGCCTCTCATTGTGCAATATGGCAGTTTTCACTGGGGAGTACATGGCACGAACTTGTAGCATCACTCTGTGTGCTACCTGCAGCTATCTCTATATGAGGCGCAGCTTTCCCGCACAACGCGCGCCATGCGCGCGTACCTTTCCCGCGCTTCACGATGTATATGCGCGCGCGCTTTCCCGCGCTTGAGCGCCCTATAGCGCCAGCCATCCGGAAGCATCCATCCACTGTCCACCAAGTTCCCTAGTGCGTATATTTCCATTTCTCACATTTGCTTATCGTTCCATCTTTATTTTTATCATGGACCCTTACTTACATATATCTTTACATACCTTACTCGGTAGCGCTTCGGCTCCGCATGACAGCGCTTAGGCGCCATACTTAAGCGCCAGCAGTACATACTATGACTTACTGACTTACTCTCCCACCAGAACGACAGAGGACTTACTGGTTACTACCCACTATTCACCTAACAGAACATAGTAGAAATCTATTTGTTTACACCTTGCATCTCTCTTCTCTTGTCTTACATCATATCATCACTTAAGCAAACTCACTCTTACTCTCTCTTGTTTCCGCATACACACACGCGCATTCCCGCGCTTCGCGCATTCTCGCGCCTCGCACGCACCTGCGCTTTCCCGCGCTTCGCATTGGCCAACCAGTAGCGCTTTCAGCGCATACCTCTAGATCCTTGCTGCACTCGCTTCCCCTTTAGGGTCGAACGCACTTGTCGTCTCAAGTATAGCAGACTAGGCAACACATGACCTTACAACAATTATAGATACAGTCAGGAGCATTGTTCGTGCCTCGCTGTATCGTTGAACCTTCAGCGCAATCAATAATAAATACAGTCGTTTGCATAATGGTTTAGACAACCAAACTACACTGCTGATATGTTTGGTCATGTTTTCAGTACAAACATGTGACATGTGACATGCTACAAACCGTCTGGCATCATGATGTTCTGGATTCTTCAAGTCATTGTCACCGAGCGAAGGATCACAATTCCATCAATAGGTACATGCATTTCATGATGCCAGATGATAACGTTCTCGCAGCTGCATAGACGTTGCTGCAGGCATCGTCGAGGGTGTGAAATGGCAAACCAGTGTCACATTGTCACACTTTGGTCCTGTTAAACAGAAGCAAATACGGTATGAAATTGTCTAAACCATTACAATGGTCGGCAAAGTCGGGAACTGGCGTGTCTGCAGCCTTACGATAATCAACAATGAACGACTTTGTCCAAACCGGCCAAAATTAAGGCCTGGTCTGGTCTATATCGTGAACATGTGCCCGTCCTTATGTAACTAAACAAACAACAGTTTGGTAAATTTGTCTTTCCTCGACTGTGACAATGTCAAATGTTCTGATGTCAAAGCCATCAGCAGATTGCTAAGATTGTTGCAGCGTCGAGGCTCTGAACTTCAAAAGCTGCCAGTGAGCTGACCAGTACTAAAGTCGAGTTGTCCGAATTTCGGACTCACGGCCCATAGCACCGACTTGATTGACTCTCGGAGTCAATGCCATCCTTATCGATTGCAAGAAGTTCAAGTTATCAATCTCAGATGCTTTCAGTTGAGTCTGGGCTCACTCCGAGTCAGCCTTGATGATCAATTGAAAGGTTGATCAGTGCGCGGCCACCTCATGGTAGGCTACTCACTCTTAGACTCGTTTCAAAGCTGAGTACACGAACAGGTCATTCTCGACATTCATCGTCAGGTACAATGTCACACTTTCCGGATGACTCAGAACGCCATGGCGATCGTGAAGGAGGTTCTCACTGGCAGAACACATCCCTGACGCAGTCAAATCGCCTGGGTATGATTGACTTAACCACTGCGCCGCTGTTACAGTAACATGGCACGAGTCCCCCGCCAGCAGACAGCCCTCTGCCACTGCACGGCTATAGACGATACCGGAGTCTCACCAGCTCTATGACAATAGATGACGATAGATGATGACAGACGATAAGCGGCAACTGCCGGCTTAGATAAGCGGTCTGGACCGCATATGACGACACATGATGACATAGGTCTAGAAGACCTATTTATGTTATCAAGATAGAAGGCAAGCCTCATGCTGCCTCATGTACTGATAGAAGGATGCCTCATGGATCCTATCCACGATAGAAGCCCGCCTCATGGACGCTATCTCTGACTCATGTAGATAAGCAGATTAGAACCCAGCTTTAGGCTGAGCTTAGATACAAAGAGTAGCCTTATATAAGGTCGAAGATTAACAGTAGACGTTCCTTACTTTAATCTTACTAGGTTTACCCTTGAACTCCTTGTCCTGCTAAAGCTACCTGCTTGACATCGACTTGTACCTTCAGTGACGCCTCTCACTGTCTGTAAACCCTGCTATCATCTCAGCGTAACCCCTCGTTAACCACCACGAGCTACGTTCGAGTACGCAACCTTTGCTTGTCTGTAAAGGCCGACGACTGTCAGCACTCGGTACCACTGTCATGGTTGTCGCTGTTAGATTATCCTAGTCGCACACGACCGTTTGTCGTAACAGCCGCCTAGTGTGACCTACCCTTTTCAACCACCTTTATTTGGATCTCATCAACAGACTCTGAATCGGGAGGTTGAGCAAACTCGAAACACTCTCCAGGCGGGAGTCATGGTGAGGCTCGTCTAAAGTTTTCTCAGAGTCGCTTTAGTGATCCAACATAGCAGCAGCAGCAGCAGCTCAACTCGGAGAGAGCTCACAATAACCTGGACCCCATGATTCATCCCTCCTCCAACGATGCTGAGTCCTCTAGAGTGTGTCAGAACGTCACGGTAGTCCACCCAGTAAGTCGTGATAATCAATTGTTCAACTACAATGTTCGAATATTTGCAGATCAAACGTGACTTAATGACCCACGGAATTTTCGCCTCCCTCAGACAGTCCAGTCACAACGAGCCGCAGCCTGCCCCATCAAACCACCAGTCCCCCTTGTATGATGTCAATCCTTGGCCCGACCTGTACAAAGGTGGCCCCCGTCCCAATTCATATGCTGATTCCTTCTACTCTGAACCACTACCACCCCCACCATTGGATCAGGCCAACCTCCCTGCAAATTCAGTCCCAGCGGTCAGCTGGGTACATGGTCTCTTTGACCATTTCCCGTCTGAACCACAGCCTGAGGCCAGCTACCAGGAAGTGGGACCCTCCCGCAGCTTTCCGAATCTCAATATCTCACAACGACTCTCATTCGATGATGAGACGGCATATACATGCATATCGACTGCCCGCGCCTCCTCACGTCCCATTCGACATAAGCCTTATAAAAAAACTCGGCCCTCGAGGGGTCCTCCACGCCGCAACCCCAACCACTGGGAAAATGACATGTTAGAAGCCATGAGATGCTCAATATTCAACAGGGCGTTTTTGCCCAAGCCGGACCAACTTGTCGAAATGGCGCAAAAAAGTTTAGATTTGTCATCCGGTAACAGCACCCAATGGTTCGTGACAGCAGAAGGGCAGGTGGGGGTAATCAAAATTTCGGAGGTCCTTGAAAATCTCAGAGATGATATAAAGGAGCTCACGAGGGCTTGGGTGGTTCCGGGATACCAAATTCCCCTCTACACCCAGACTGCACCAATGATTCAGTTGTTCATCGAGGAGCTCGTCAAAGAGTATAGGTATCTTAAAGGAGCTATTAACGTGAGTGTTTGGGACCCCTTAATTTTATTTCTATTTCTCAGTGATACGTTACTAGGTGCAGGGAATGATGGTTCACCTACCATTCGGGCACCAAGCAATCATAAGTTTTGTCAAGCATTTATTGTTTCATGACCGCCAATACTGGCGATACTTAGCCCAACGAAAAATCTTGGGCCCCTTCTTGCGTACACGAGCACACTCCACACTGGGCATTGGATTAAATGTCTACTGGACGTTCTCTCCCCTCGAATTTGATGTCATTACGAAGCAGTCTACATACAACATGTTTGTCCAGCTCTTCGAAACATTAACTGACGAGGAACGTAATGCGCTGAACACATATCATGGCATGGGCTTGAGTAGCTAGTGAGTTAGTAGTACATACATCAAAATGGATCAAGTTCACTATCACAACTAGTAGGAATGGTATCTTCACTACTAACATTGCCACTCAGGAGGGGCGATCGAAAGTCCATGTCTACTAGACCCGCGTCTACTTGTCCAGCAATGCACATGATAATAATACAAGCAGTCCACTCACCTGCGGACGGTCCATTTTGATTTGTTACAACTACAAACAATTGTAAACTATGTTCGCCATCTCCCTTTCGTTGTTCGACACTGACCATAATGTTCTAATATCCCGACCATTCCGCACTCTCAATAGTGCAGTTTATGGCTGACCATGCGCAAATACATCCGTGTGAAGGTCGAGCACCGCCCGTCGCAGAGTTAGACCCTGCGAGCCATTGAACATCGTCACGTATGCGGCTCTCAGTGGAAACTGCCTGCGGTTCAGTGTACAATTAGACCTCGGCGGATTGAAAGAGAAAGTGATGCGCAGGAGACAGTGAATCTCACCTGTCTCAATGCCCATGATGTTGCCGGTGCAGCTCGACGCCATGGTAAGTTGAAGATTAGGAACATTGGAACTCTGCACGCCATAAAGAATGGAGCAAGAAAGGGTCAAGCAATCGATCAAGCCGGATGGAGAGATTCCATAACGTGTGCACTCAGGCTCAAGTGGAGCCCGCACATGGCGTCGACACCATATTGGAAATTGCTCCATTCTTATAATATGTAGAA